ACCCATCGGAATGTTTTTCCAACAATAACAATCTATTATCCACTTCTTTATGACATTTCAGGACTTCTGTTTGTTTTGTATCCTTCTACTGTAATATCAAGACTATGATTACATAGCCAGAAAGCAATGCAAGTACAAAGGGTCGCAAGTCGTTCATCGTTGACTATAGGCTTACTACATTCTCCACCTCTTCTCCCGAATTGCATGAAGGATTCAGCTCAGATTTTGTGTGTATGCTTCTGAAATAAGTCCAAACTGCATTTTAAATATGGCCACCAGGTAGTCATTTTGCGCTTAATGACAATGTAATCTTCTCCGAACTGAATGGCAACAGACATAAAAATTGGTAACTGATCTCCATATGTAACTCCAGGTTACTTTGAAGCATCTTGATCGGAAATAAAATATTGCAAAATGCACAAAATTATGCATCATTCTTCCTTAACGTTTTCAGATCAGAAACCATTAGATCAGCGAATCTGAAACAGGTTTGTTCCCATCAATGATGAAACCTTACTGTAATTTTCGACATGGCCGACACACTATCCATATTGGAAATGCTCTTCAGATACTAGTGCTCATGTCAAGCACATATTCCTGTACCTCTGGCCAAATGTTCCTGGCATGACTCATGTCTGTTTGTAATATCCCTGATTTTGACAATTTGTATTTGACCAACTTATGGGCTAACAGAAGCGACGATCTAGTTCAGTGTCTCTAATAGTCAAGTAGAATTCACACCATGAAAAGTCTAATATTTGACAGACCAACACAAAATGTTTGTAATTGTTTTCACTGACAAGAAACCGTTTTAAACATCACAGCATTAATTGTTTAAAGGTCACATGCAACACAAAACACAACTTTTCAGATTCTGATACTTTCGGTATGGACTTACAATAACAAATTATCAAAAATGCAAATTCAACAGTACTTATAAGGTTGAAAAATAACGCAATGAAAAAAACCCTGCCAAATCGGAGTTCAAAGATTCACTAATTTCACTTCAGCGCTGGGGTGAAAAGTGGTTTCAACAGCTGTGCTGCGCTACGCCCATAGCGCATGCGCAGTGATTAGGTTCGCGCGGCTTGAACAGGGAAGGCGACTCGTAAAAACACAGCAAGTAATGCGTGCAAGGATTATCGTTGGGGTCGAAGTTGGAGAACAAAAGAAGTTTCTTGTGATTACAAGCATCTTTGGTCTGCAGTAAGAAAAATACACTGGTCCCATACTTTTTCCTATATGTTTTCACATCTTGCCTTTTGGGGGTTGACAGATTTTCAAACCAAGTTTTCAAAAAAATGTAGCATTAGAAATACTAATTTCTTTGTTAAAAATTGCTCAGATTGAAAACTGAAATGTTTTAATACATGTCTATGGAAACATAGAAAAACATGTTAATTATATAATGTTTTATTGACACCTATGTGTCTGCCTGCCTGTCTGCTAATGACAATATGCAATACACAACTTCAATCATTGACCACATGCAATTTGAACTTAACACCTATCAGGCTATACATCACAAACAAAATACATTGATTTATGGCTCGTGCACTTGAGTTCTATCTCTGTCACATTATGTAATTACACAGACAGGCAGGTGTTATACTTGTACACATGGCATGTTATTATGTCTGTGGGTTACAAACAAACTGCATCCATGTTTCTCGGATGACTGGATCGGACGGAAACCGGTGCAAACTCAGATTGTCAGTGTCAAGTCCTGCTTTGTACTTAAACGAACGACAGTTTCCAGCCACGCAGTAGTTCACCATCTCAGTATTTGTTGATTGGGATCGAACGCAAATGCAGAAAAAATGAGCATGTATTTACAAAACCCAACATCTCTATATAGACACACACAATGAGCCCTCAGCGTATCTGCAAATGAACCAGCCAATGAAAGCCTTCGTTACACTTGAGTGCACACCCACCCGCTCTCACTGGGTTCGGTATCCCGGCTGCTTCGTTTCGAGGGAAGTAAACCCCAAGTACCAAATATTGCACTTTTGATTTGCGATTGAACGCTTATAATTTTTTTATTTGTTTTTTTCATAATCAGCAATGTATATTATATATCATGAATAAGTGATAATAGTGTTTTAATTATGTTTGTTTTTTTTTGGTTGCATGTGACCTTTGAAGAAAGTATTTTGGTAAATATTAATAATGCCACTTGTAAGGCCAAAATGTCAACTGTCAGAAATCTGCCAAAATCAAGTATCACTACTTTCTACTTATTTTCTACAAGAACCTCCTTGGACATTTCCATTCAGCTTTTGAGCTCCACTTGATGTGAAATAAAATCCATGCAAATCAGGAACATGCACCACCAATTCGTAATACTTATAATGAAGGACCGTCAGATAGTATTTGAGACGAGTGTAATTAATACCATGTGGATTCCTAAAAACCACAACAGACAAGCAATTCTCGCACACATTTGATTACCAAACGCGGTTGCCATAACTATAGTTACGTATCTTTCTTCCGAGGTTCAAGTGGTATCAGTCACTCCTTAAAATACTTTCGTTGAACAACTGATAATTCCAATGATTCTACGGCCTGCTTAAAATCCAAGTCTACACGCCATGGATGTTCTGCAATCACAACTTGCGTAAAATGAACCTGAAAGGCATATTTATGTTAACCGGAAAAATATCATTCGAGCATTTTATTTCTCTTAAGATTTCAAAGAGCACCATCCGACCCACCATCCGAAAAGCTAGGGTGGAAATATTCAAAGTCAAAGTGTAGCTTTCAAAACAAAGTGGACATTCCTGAATGAGACAAAAGTTATGCCCGATGCAATTCATTGTTGTGTCTTATACCATTGAACTAGACAATTGACTTGCCCTAGCATGGGTTTTGACGTGTTAGTATGTGTCCATCTTTTTGCAAGAACCTGGCATCATCACTGCTTCAAAAAGACATGTTCATATGAGACAAGAGACTCATAAATATTCTGCTTTCTTTTGAGTTTTCTTCTGAATGTTATGTTTTATATTCATTCATTAAAGCGTACATCTTTGTTGGCTACAGTTTGATTAAGGTTTTCGTGGTCTTGGTAATCCCACTCTACATATATGTCAGTCTTCAAGCTTGTCATATCTTCTGTTGAGCACATGCCCTCGAGTGTAACATTTAGATAGTACAGACAATGGTTCGGATCAGTATAATACCTTAGTAGTCTATGAAGCTGCATGCACTGTAAGTCCCCATGGTCCCCATCTACCTTCCGTTGTTGGCGACTTATGGCCTGTTTTTATATTGTATTGTCTTCGTAAATATATAATAGTTTTAGATTTACATGCTAGTTTTACACACCATCTGTGATACTCTACTCTAGTTTAAACTTTCGACGACTGGTTGTTTAACAACTCGTATTTATTTCTTTTACACAACCTTACTCGTCGCTTTATGGCTGAAATATTGACGAGGTGACGTTAAATTTTAGCTCACTCACTCATTGAAGCTGCATGCGACCAGGCTAAATGTTGGTACAGTTATGTTGATCGGTATTCATTAGTAACTTACAAATATACCTGTTCATTACCTTGTCGACACTTTCTCGAGAATGTTTTGATTCCTGCTTATTGTTAGATTCGGTTCGTGGCGACTTTTTGACTATGGACATCGAAGGTAACGCATTCTTTCGTCCGTATAATGATGGTGACATTGATTACATAATGGTACGGAAAGGTCACGGGTAAGAATTGACAAGCAATGATTATTTTCTTCACGCAACACAAACAATAATAAATTATATTGACGTCGATTAACGTTTAAATAAGTGAAATCAAATTCACGTGTAACATTAAAATGCTTTTACTACTGAATTTTTAGAATCAAGCATGATGTTCACATGTACAATTAATTTGTCATGACTGCCTAAAATTGCATGTTTATCCAGGTCATTGCACATATAAAATCCAAGGAAACTCATCACAGTACCAGCGGGGCTGTGTTAATTCAGTCGAATACTGCCCCCATGGTTCCTAATGTGGTGGCCTAATATTAGTTGTTTGTGATATTTGATATGTATAAAACTATGGCTGATATATTGCTGGTTGTGTGAAATGCGTAGTTGATGTCACTGTAACTGCTAAAGGCACAATGTCATTTTCGACTATATTTTGGCCTATATTATATATATTGGGGCATATGCACTCACTTTAGCTAAATATTGATGCAATAAAAGACTTATTATCCCTTACGACTTACCTGAAACCGATAATTTAATCTTCGAGGTGAACATTTGGCGAACAGCTTCCATACAGAGGACATTATATGGAATATATGGAATGTACACACTTGCTCTGTACATCGAAAACTGTCGCACGCGGTGTTTGCCGAATTGGTTTCAAGTTGTGCGAAGGATATTCGTAAAGAGCGCTCCAAGGGACATAACTCTATGGGGTTCGCTTTAAAAAATGTTCGGCCGGTAGAGTGCGCGAAAGTCGATTTCATGCAACGTTGCATTAAATCATTCGAACTTTTTAATTTAATATTGTAATCTAAATGCGTATTTTAAAAATAAATTATATGGTAGCTTCCCTGAGGGCTGATAGTATTATTCAGAGAAATGCATTCAGTGTGGTCTGATATAGTGCCTTTAAATAACTTACTCAAACCCAGAGTGAAGTGATTTAACTGTGAAAAGCAATTTTGATCTCGTGAATGCCACGCCGAAAAATGACATTGTTATCGGAATTTCACGAAATAGATTTCATCACACAGTCACCTTGGGTTTGGTAAAACAAAACAGACAACAGCAGAGAACGACCTCTTTCTGGAAGTCCATGAGTGAAATCACGTTGGCAAGATTATAACGTGCAGTTCGGTTTCAGACGGCACATTTGAAGCCCTCGGTATCTCCAATATATAACGCCAGCATTAAATCTGCCCATGACGTCCAGCAATTTTGCCTGTTGATGAATAAATATACGCCACCATGTTCTCCAGGTGTTGGTCTTATGTCGGTCGACAAGGGGGGGGATGCAGGAGGTTGCCGTTGATGACGCCTCGGTGATAGAGATACGATAGCGCACCTGTTCTTTCACGCACTTGGGATGTGGCATGAACAAAACAGGGCTGATCGGGATGTGTATATTACTCTACACCCTCTCAACATGGAAGCTGGTACGTTACATTCAGTTTCATGCGAATGTCTTATACCGAAGCTCAGAGACTACATCATTATGTCAACTCACGTCTTAATATATTGATTTTGCAGTTCCTTAAACTGTCTTTTTTTAAAAATATATGTTGAAACATTAAAAACGTACATCTGCACGAGCCATAAACACATAAAAAATTAGGTTATCATGAAAAGTTGCACATGCTAAACAATTTGCTATTCATTCTGTTTTATTACAGGGGCAGCTGTCAATTTCCACCGGTATCACCTGTATGAAACACGGGATATACTTTACCTTAATAGTTCCAACGTCAAAAACTATACAGGACATCATCTGCCGACTCTTCCGCCAGGTTTACTCAAGTCACTGATATGGAGAAATATATGTTTTCTCATGGCGACTGTTCTGATTTGACATATGACATCTGTTCCCTACTCCACATTGGACCATATGCTTACTCTAAAAATGGCGAACCTGTCTTTTCTCCTTTGACATGGAGAGGTCCATGGGGAACAGATATCCAACACGACATGAATGTACTAGCGTGCATATATGCTTTGCATTGTATGTGCCTTAACAAGATATAATTGTTGCAGACTCATCAGCAAGGCTTAATGTCACAACATAAAAAACTGTAATGTCTGTCACACCCACGAGGAGAGAAAAATGGGATGATGGTAGTGTTCATTGTGTTATAACAGAGAGAGTGACAAGTAAAAGTTGGGCTAAATACCTCACATAATATTTATAAGCAAAGCATAAGTGATTTACATAGTGGCAGCAGTTAAAATACGTAAAGTTATCCGAAATAACGGATATCTCGATGTATATCATCATAAAATGCCACTCAAAGAAGTTATACCTATTACAATGATGTGCAGATGAAAATAATGATTTTCATTAATATTACCTCAAGGTACTGTTCTTATACGGGACAGGGGAGGTGAATATTCTATGTGACTTTGTAACATAAACATCTTGTACTGACAAAAGCGTATGATTGATGTTTCACGACAAATGTGCGAAAGTGTCTTGATTACCCTTGTGGCAAATGAAACAAGTTATTCTTCACACTCGAATCACAATGTAATACACTAAACATGGATGAGAATTGAGATGTAATACACACTGCACTCACAGAATAAAATCAAGACGTAATACACTGAAGATTCAAAGATATATGATACCATTTTGAAATAATTACTGATTATACTTCAGATGTAGCGGAATACCACTTCACTGGCTGTTTTCCACCATCATCCGTGGTTCAGATGGAGAATGGCAGGTCCAAAACCATTGGGGAGTTGATGATAGGTGATACAGTGATGGTCATGGACGAGGAAGGTCGGGTTTCCTTCAGTGATGTCAACCTGATGATGCATAAACTGGACCGAACACCCGTAGAGTACATAATACTTGAAATAGAAGATGGCCTTACACTGACAATGAGCAAGGAGCATGTGGTTTTTGTGAGCTCAGTTTGGAGCTTTTCAGCAGAGACCCGCATGGCGTCAAAGGTTGAGATCGGCGATTATCTTTTCCGCCCGGAGCTGACGAATGGATCGTTTGTTCCTGTGAAAGTGACAGCAATTAGAAAGCAAGTCATCACAGGGGCATATGCACCGACGACTCTGGCAGGAAACATTGTCGTGGACGGGCACCTTGCGTCATCCTCTGGGATCAGAATCTGGCACATGGCTTCTTTCTTCCTTGGCGGATCAGGTACCACATGTACAATACCATATTTGGAAAATCACTCCAAGAACCCGCCCCAGGCTTTCATTGGTCACTGAGAGCCTTTGTGTCGCTCTACTGTCGCATTGTTGACGACAAGCTTTGTGATGATCTCTTGAACGTGTGAGATTTTGTATGTATTCATAAAACATAAAGCCACGAGCATGAGCATAAAATCACTTGCTTTGTTGTTTTGTTCATGTTTAACCCTGTGTGTTGACGTTAACCTAAATATATTGGTCTTGCTGTTGATTATGATTCCGCAATACACTGGCCATGATGCCTATGCCTTTTATGGAAATATAAATTATCACTTATCACAAAAAATTACATTAATCTGGTGATTTGAAAAATAGACCAGATTGTCATTATTTCCAGATGAAAGACATGTTAGTACTGTTGCTAACAAAGCTGAATTACTAACACTGGTTGCATCCAATTTTACATCGAAACAACCCATTGATGTTACGTTATTGCTATGACGACCTCATTCTGTTTGCATCAATATTTAATGCTTTATATAATGCTTGTTTCTTAACAAATTAGATTCATCTTCATATGTACACTCAGCACACGGAAGTAGTCTTACCTCATGCTTACATTGAGAGTAAGGTCTGTGGGTGTTAGCTTGTGTCAGATTCCTGAGATTAAGTAACACTAGAAAATGTGGAAACGGTTCACAGTTTTTACCAGCAGCTAACAGTAAGCAATCAATCACAGGAATCAAAGCCCCAACAATTGTGACAATGATTGCTGATTAAAGGAAAAATGATAAAAAAAAATACAAACCTCTCAACTAAGCAACGGTACAGTCAATATTGATAAAGATAGCTAACAATTCTCTATGACAAGACTATCGACAAGATGCATCGACGTCCAATTAAGTCGGCAGTGACCAATTAACTCTGCTGGGAAATAACTGATTCTATGAAACCTCCTCTACGGTAAGTCGGGAGAAATGACTGACTGACTGAGTTTAGTTTTACGCCGCTTTTAGCAATATTCCAGCAGTATCACGGCGGGGGGACACCAGAAATGGGCTTAACACATTGTGCCCATGTGGCGGGAGAAATGAGCTTTAAGGGTCTACCCCAAACTATGCCTCTTACACAACTAAGATATGCCTCATAAAATAAAGTATGTCATGCTTCTAAAACATACGTTTACTTGACCGGAAGTGTAACTACACTGGCTACACAAAAAAGGGCTTGACCTAAACTAGGCAATCCTGGGGAAAATTGGTTATCTCTGCATTACCAGAAATAAGGGAACAGAACATGGTACCCTAGGCCATAACGTTATTTCATCAAATTGATATTGATCAAATCGCCCCCTGAGATACTTAAGAATTACTGCCGTAGCAACTTTCGACCTGACCACCCAGTAGCAGTGCGACCAGTAACGGTCTAACGAGACCTGGCAATGGTGGCGTGGGAAAGGGACACGGTCCTTATACCCAGTGACAATCAGCGCTCGCTGGCATTTTTAAGGTGGCAAACATGGCCATAACTTGCATGTGTAATATCTACATAGCGCAAGATAAACCCCCATCTGCGTGTTAATATAACATCTTAAATTCTCTGAGAATATACTAGACTGACACTGAGACATGAGGTATGTCATAAACCAAAGTACAATATGAAAACTAAAGCAAGTACTTTGTTTTATGTGTGGTTTTCAACTGTTCTTCATATAAAATGCTGAATATGTCATTGAAAATGACAATATAATATTCAGTCAGTCATCTGATTAATGTGATACTGTACAAATTCACTGACAAGGCCCATACCTGATGGCAGGAAACAGAAAGACACGCCCTAAAAGAGCGGTCTCACAACTTATTTAACAATGTCAGTATTTAACAATGACCATTATTTGTGTTGGTTTTAGGCGCGACAGCGATGGTGCATTGAAAACAGCCTTGGGAATGTTATTTCAAATGTCAACTAGAGACCCAAATGAGGTAGAGGCAATGTTAGGCTGCCTCAAAAATTCTGTTGCAGCACGTGCTATATGTGGGTGGCGTTTTTGCAGTGCATGCCACGTCACTTACTGAGTTGGTAGATCATGTTAACGACAATGTCGTCCCGGTAACGTGCGGCATTCAAATTACCAATGATGAGTTGTGTTCTCCTTGAGGTGAGATGACACCTCATACAGTATTGCACTTCCAACCACCAACGAACCGACGTTAAATAAGGCAAGCCTCTGTAAAACATACACCTGCACGCCTGTGGACCACGTCACCATCATCAAAGCCGTATTCTGTCCCATTCTTGTCTCTAGATGCCGTTTGCAACAGGTCTGGTTTGCTAACGGTGGTCAGGAACCAATCGGGGCGCGTCTTGCACTTCAGGACCGGATGTTGTGCTCCGGTTGCGTAGGATTCTTCTCTTTAGATTCCGTGCATATGTTTATGCATTGACGTGACGTCACACAAGGACGACCTTCTGACCATAAAGAATGTTTGGCAACTTCGTTTTAAGCCATTCCTGTCGCAGCCCGTGGTTGCATGGCTTAAGCGTTAGATTACACAAATGTGCTTCTTTCTAAGCACCTGCTAGCTAAACAATCATTCTGTGTGGTGGTAAAGAACACGTGCATATGTATAATGTTCCCAACAAATACATTCAACATCCAACGTGCATCTAGCGAGCTCTTGACATAGGCGTTCCAGTTATGTCGCAACATTATAGTCGAAGAGATGCCCACATGCATGTATTCATGCACACACTCGTACACGTACTCAAGCTTATTTCCTTAAACGTAGTCAATTGTGTCCAGCACACTGAAGCAACTGTCTTTTTAGACAATCCGGAAAACAAATCATCCTTAAAAAATATGTTTTGATACTAACGAATATGTCTTCCTCGAGGCCATACGCGAACCGAGTTATGAAGAGCTGACTGAGAGTGAAAGACGTTGTAACCCAGCAATGTGGAGGGATTGGTGGATAGATACAGGTGGACACACCATGAGTATAATGGGTGGATGAGAGACGTAGACACAAGATGGGAGTGATTGGTGGATAGATACAGGTGGACACACCATGAGAATGATGTGTAGATGAGAGAGGTTGACACAAGATGAGAGGGATTGGTGGGTGGAGAGACGTAGACACACGATAAGAGTGATTGATGGATAGATACAGGTGGACACACCATGAGTATGATGGGTAGATGAGAGAGAGGTTGACACACCATGAGTATGATGGGTGGATGAGAGACGTAGACACAAGATGAGAGTGATTGGTGGATAGATACAGGTGGACACACCATGAGAATGATGTGTAGATGAGAGAGGTTGACACAAGATGAGAGGGATTGGTGGGTGGAGAGAGGTAGACACAAGATGAGAGGGATTGGTGGACAAAAAATAGTGAACTGTGTCAAAGTTTTAATGATTTTTGGGTGGAGTCCGGAAATGTTTTGGAGGAGTGCAGAGAAAGGGACAGCCAGGTGTTAGAGAAGCACGTGCACAAGTGCCCACCAAGTTATTGATTCATTAGCCTGTGCTGTGCGGTCTCCATCCTTTTTCGCACACCTGGCTGTCCCTTTCTCTGCACTCCTCCCTCGTAACAAATAGTGAACTGTGTCAAAATTTTAATGATAGTTTCTTAAAGAACTTTTTGGGTGCAGTCCGGAAAATTTTCAAATATAAGAAAGCTGTTGGGTATTAGTAAATGATAAACATGTGTACTATTTATATTTATGTGGCAATTTTGTACAATGATAAAATTTGCAATTCATATCGGTCCGTTTCTTACTCAAACGGACTGCATCTTTAAATTACTTTTTAATGACACGCATTTTGGAAAAAGTAAGCATAAATGGATAATGAATATTAAACATACGTTTGACGAAATTGGACTTAGTTATGTATGGAATTCCCAAAATTTTGAAGACCTGAATAAACTAAAAAATACAGTTAAATGTAAACTAGAAGATGTGTATAAGCAACAAAATGTATCTTATATAGCTCCTTATCAAACTCAGATTTAAGGTTAAGTAAATATTTTGATATATTATATGATAAGTGATCAAGGGCAGTGTTACTTTATAAAACAGCAAATCATAACTTACCAATTGGAACAGGCCGCTGCAGCAATATTCAAAAACGTGATAGATTATGTAAACTTTGTAATGGTAACGACATTGGCGATGAATTTCATTATTTATTTATTTGTTCTCACTTTATAAATGCAAGAGTTAAATATTTAAAGCCATACTTTTTTACAAGACCAGATTTTCATAAAATGTATCCATTATTCAATAGCAATTTAGATCTGAAATGTCACTATAATGACACACATATCATCATTTGTGGCGACCTTAATGCCAGGACAGGTTGCCTAGCAGATTATATCATTCCTGATAAAGCAGACCTTATTCCAGTTAGATGGTGTTAATGACATCGTTGATACATTCGACACTCCACGTTCCTCAAGGGACTCCGAGATAAATAATTATGGCAAGGAACTTATTAATCTATGTTGCAGTTATGGGATACACATTCTCAATGGCAGATCCAAGAGTGATCCGCATGGAGCATTTACATGTATTGCAAACAAAGGACATAGTCTAGTTGACTATGCATTATGTTCTACTAATCTATTTAACTCAATTAGTGATTTTAGTGTGTGTACATCAGTAGAATCTGATCATTTACCTATTGTTTGTCAGCTGAAGTGTTTCTTCCAGAGGATTGACAACTCGGAGCGATATGATACAATTGCGATTGAGAAATATAAATGGAGACCTCCCCATGCAGACAAGTTTGACTCAACCTTAAAAGTAAACTTAAACTCACTGCCTCTTCATGTCTTTCTTGAGATTACTATGGATAATCCATCTCTAGGTGCAAAACTGCTAACATACATTATCCAAAAACTGCATCTTCTTGTGGAATGGACTCGAACTCTGTCAGGAGACGGGATAATCATAAACAGCAATGGTTTGATCAAGACTGTGAAAATTTAAAACAAGATAAATATGAACTTTTAGATAGATTTCGCCTGTCTGGGGATTTTTCTTACCTTCAAGAGTTTCATAAAGTTCGAAATAAATTCAGAGAGCTTTGTCGTCACAAGAAGGAGGAATATACAATAGCAATAACCAACTCTATATTATCAGATTTTTCTTCTGGTAAAAGGGTCAAATCCTTTTGGTCTCGTGTGAGA